TCTCTCTCTCTCTCTCTCTCTCTCTCTCTCTCTCTCTCTCTCTCTCTCTTGCGCGCGCGCGCGCACACACACACACACACACACACAAAACAACAACAACAGCCCGCTACTGCCACTTGGTGTAGTTTCAGCACCATTGCTGCTGGAGAGCTCCCGGGTTTCCCCATGCGGTGCGCCTGGTCTCCGCTGCAGCAACAAGCTCCTACTCTCCCTCCTCTTCCTCTGTCCAATTTGAAAGCATGAAAACAAGGCGTCCCTTTCAGGAGAAGGTTCTCCCCCCAAGCAAAATAATAAGGAAGGAGAAAAGAAATAAACAGCGCCAACAAATAATAATAATAAAAAGTCTTTGTGTTTTCTTCTTGCACACTAAAAGATATGATCTGCAGGAAGGGCTGCCACGGCTCGAGAAGCATGCCAGTTTAAAGAAAATAAATAAATTAAAATAAAACATGCTCTCACGACTTGGAGGGAGGAGGCAAAACGGGGGGGGGGGGTGGTGGTTGTGGGGGGACGGAACGGGCGCCTGGACGCATGCATCACAGAAAACACACACATGGGCGAAAAAGTCTTTCAAATGTGCCACTCACCGTGGATCAGGCGTGTCCTGTGGCTCTAACTGCAGAGAGAGAGAAACACAAAGAAAAGGTTGGGGAGTTTAGAGAAAAGCCGCAGTAAGAGTCTGGGAGAAAAGCAACAGATTAACTCCTTCATTTGTTTATTTGTTTTTTCTTTCTGAAATGCAGGCTTACAGTGGCACGTCCAAGTTGGATTGCCATCCCTTTCTAGATAAATAATAATAATAATAATAAAGAAAAAATAATACCCGCCTGTCTATTCCTGGCGCACGATCAAAACTATGATGCTATTTTTAGGTCCCAGTATGAGGACGGGGAGAGAAGAAGAAAAAAAACTCACGAAGGCATAGCTTAGGATGGTTACGTGAAGTGCATGTAATGTGAATTCATTTGGCTTTCTGCCTCTCCAACTCCGCTCAAGAGCCTTGATTCCTCTCCGTTGCACCATTGCAGAGATTAAAACACACACTCGCACGCACGCACGCACGCACACAACAGCACCGTCACGTCCTTCTCAAACAACTGGAACCTGCAGCTGATCATCGCCAATATTTAGTGTCTTGTCGCCCTCTTCAGAGGCTTCTGGTCCCACATCAGATCTCAAACTCTTGGAGGGGAGGAGGGGGATTTAAAAAAAAAAGAAAATGTCCAAAATAACGCTGAACATCCTGCACGCGCTCCCCTGAAAGGATTTCTTCTGATAGTTTTTTTTTCCTTAAATGGACGGAGACACTGTAATCATTTAGGAATTGAGCTTTGCTGAGGAGAAGAAGTAGAAAGAGGGAATAAATAAATAAATTTTAAAAAGGCATTTTATGTTGAAGGGCTGCGTCAGTTACTAGGCATTGACGTCACGTTCAGATTCTCTCACTTTTCCAGCCCGTGGAGCCTGATTAAAGACTGCCGCGCTGCGTTCAAGCGCTTCCAAAAGGATAAATAATAGTATTAATAATAATAATAATCAGGATGATTATGAGGAGAATAATGCTTCAAATCATAATAAAGAGTTAGAAAACTGCAGGTTAGTGTGAAGTGGACTCGCGGTTTTTGGAGCGGGTTATCTCCAGGTAAAACGAGCATCTGGGTTCCCACCCAGCTCACCACCCACTCCCACTCTCCAAACCTTGTATCTCTAACCACCATGTGTCGGTGCTGTTTTGGTCCTAGAGAATTTATATCGACCCACATCATCCAGTGCGTTTCTGGAGGAACGCCGCGTGCACACATTGCCTCCACGTCTTGTTCTGTCTATTACAGACCGCTTGGACATGCATGAGCGCGACTGGGCAGGGTGGTCTGAGGATGGTGTTTGTGGTGTGTGTGTGTGTGGGGGGGGGGGGCAGTAAACACTGAGGCAGTAAAAGAAATGTCGACTCTTGTGTGTGTGTGCTGGGGGGCTGCGCCCGTCGCATGGTTGGTGCTATTTTTATCCCTGCCTGTAGGCCAACTGTATGTCCGTGACTGCTGGCGCGTGCGCGTACGAGTGGGGACTGCTTTAAAGCAGCTGTAGCACATTCACAAAGTTCGCATCGAATTGGGCGCGGAAGGATCACGTTACATGTGTTACCC